CAAGTAGGTTTTTGAGCTTTTAATCGCAAAAAAAGCCTTAAAAGTTTTTTGATGTATGCAGTTTTGTAGAGCTCAAGGAACTCGATCGAACCATGTAAAAATATCCAAGGAAAATATTTTACTTCGGTTTGGATTACGGGCACCTTAATTTTTCCACCCCAAAAAAAAAGCATAAAATTTCTGAAAATTTATTAAGTTTGACCTTAAAATGGTTTCATACCTTTCACTATTTAGTACCAATAAACCCTATTTTCGACCAGCTTTCATTTGATATAAAATTCATCATGTTTTCTATTTGAAATTATAGCGGTACTCCCTCCCCTTTGAATAATATTATTTCCTACCCTGTACATACACTTCCTCTTTCTTCTTGGTGCTAGGCAGTTCTAAGGTGCCAGACATGTTGACCAATGAAATGAATTTACTGTTATTTTCAAACTTGAAGAGCTCACCCGCACCTAATAGCGATTCATCAACCATCGACTAGAAAAAACTCAAGGTAAAAGGTGTTTAAACATAAATTGAACTCATTAGTGAAGCATTACAAATCGATCCTAAACATTGTGATCGAGCTATGAACTCGATCAGTTTTAATGGCATCGATCCGTCGTTTAGATACCCGCAATCGCTAAAAAAAAATATTTTTGGAAATTGATGACGACAACGATAAATTCGTTAAAGAACTGATTGACTATTAGCGTCTACAAGATGATATTGCTGAAAGCCACATTATTACGATTAAAAAAGAATATTGTCATCGTACACCCATGTGTTGGTACACGACTGCATTTTTTACAAGGGAGTGGGTATGGGTCTTCTCTTCATTATCACGCATCCATATCCTGTACGCTATAAAAGTTAGCATCATATGTGTTCTTTCAGTTTTCTTCCAATTGAAAAAAAAATAATAGAGAACAAAAAATATTATTGCTACATATTCAAGTTGTAAAAGCTGATTTCAACTTGTTTAATTTTGTGTTTTTCCTCCACATCGGATTCTTTCTGGAAAAATGTCTATTAAAAAATTTGTAGTCCAGATATTGCTATTTCTAATTAATAAATTGATTGGTTTAGAAGTCGTCAATACGTGATGATCGAGTTTGGCATTTTTTCTTAAGTTTTTTGCATCACATATTGAATAGATAAAGAACAATGATGGATACTGGTAACCGATAACAATTAAAAGTCTCGATGATAGATAAGAAGAAGCTACAGAACAAGGAAAGATTATTGTGCATTAGAAAATGTCAAAGTGACTTTCGAGAAAGTGTTCTCGAATAATCTAAACCTACATCCGTTTTTGGATAGAAAAACGTTGAAAATCTACAACAGCTTCGACTTATGCATTTATCTTCTTGTTTTTAGTCAAGTCCCATTGAATGTACCACTATTATTGTTAAACAGATACTAAAATATGTGGCGCTGTATTGCCATCTCCTCTACTGTTTGGATTTCTATTCTGTTTTGTCCAAGCTTGATTCATATGCTACATTTCAATCTTGTATCGGTGGTGAAATTGATTGATTAGACGAAGTGAATTTTATATCTAAGATGAAATGACACTGTTACACAACATAAAATGACATATTTAGAAAACCAAATTTCTAGAAAACCAACTGTTCAGTATTTTGTTTATGAGATATTTGCAGAAGAGTATTTATTGATATAATTTATAGAAGGACTTTAACTATAGGAAAGCCGGATCATGTCTTTTTTGTTTCCAAGTAATATATTAATAATTATTGAAGAATTCTTGAAGGATGAATCGAAGTGTCAAGTCAAATAATTTTTAATGCACAATTTGTTTCTCTTATTGTAAATATTGCATTAGGGTTAATTTTATTTGTCTTTTCATAGCAACAACATAATCGTTGGCGAACTGTTTGACGAAAACGACTTGAAGCAGCAAGAAATACATAAAAACTTCCCTTAATGTATTAAATAATATTATCTTCAAATAAAAATTAAAAAAAAAATTAACTTACCCCAAAATTAAAAAGACCTTATAAACTTGTAACAGTTAGAAATAAAAAATCTTGATCGACTTGTTCAGCACTTTTATTTCTATTCGATGTTGATAAAATATATGTATTATAAATACCAAATGGTATTGTTGCAACAACAACAAAAGTAAGTTGTAAACAAACCATTGTAATTAATTGACGACCAGCACCAATTAACTGACCTGATTTAGCTAAGCATCGCATATTCTTATATGCAAGATAACCAAATGTAACCAAAGTTATTGTGGGAATCGTAAGTAAAACACAAAAGAAATGTATATATGGCCAGTAAATAGATAATATTTTATTATTAATCACACATTCATTTGATCTAAACATTTTATTTGAATTTCATACGAGTTAAGATTATGGGAAACCTTATTTTATACGGTACAAAAAATCATCAATATTCTCCTTGTAGACTAGATAATTTGAATAGCATGCATAAGTTGGAAAGCAAGTATGACAAAGCTGCCTACAAAGTGAAGTGAAGTGAAGTGTTTAAAAACCGAACTTGTACAAAAGAGCTAGTCATTGAATTCAGTTTACATTAGACGATCTGTATGTCACAATAGTAGACAAAAGTTTCCACCTCATCTTCATTTGGCTAAAATACGTGCTAGAGGTCTAAAAATTTGTGTGCATTTGTTCAACCTAGAATATACGTAATAGATTTGATTGGTCTGTATCAAGCCTTTCTAGATTTGTGACCAATTTACCATGATTACTGGTTTGAAATAAAATCTATCTTCTGTTCTTTGGCAACCATAACTCACTAATAGTTCAATGAAATAGGTTTCAGTTTCTAGAAAAACTTCGCCAATATTAAAGCATTGTCATCTATAAATCTCAAAAGAGGATCTTGTACTAAGAGAAACAGTTGACTAATGATCATCGGGTTCATGTTGAGGATTCTGAGATATTCAGAAATAGAAAGCGTTCTGCAAATGAGCTCATCGTTCTAGTAAACAACACTGATAGAAGGGACTTCGGTTTTATACTAAAAACTGCAGATTTGGGCCATGCAAAAAAGATCAATCACCTGATCTAGAGTTATTGCTTTGAATTCAGATTCTTTGTGGATCGACTTGAACTTCTAGAAAAGCTAATCTCTGTGTTGATTTTATCTTTCGTACCTTGAAATAGTGATAGCAGTTTATCGGTCGAATTGGAAATTCTTTTTTTTTCTATCATACATATTGTAATTGAAATAATTCTTAGATAATACCAATCTAGATTAAAACTTCTTTTATTCTAAATAATTATTTTTTCATCTTCCAACATATATGAAATGACGTTGTTCATTTTTTCTTGTTCTCTCTAAGTCTTCTCTTACTAATGAATTTCAATAGAAAATCAACCAAATAACTGTCAACAACTTATAGAAGCCTAATAGATGAGAAAATAATCCTTAGTTTTCATTATTAATATATTTACATACCGTATTTGATTGTAAACAAGAAAAGGCATACTATGAATATGCCAGAAAATAATAAACGCAACAACAATTCGATGAGTATTTTTCATATTACTAAATTGTCGTAAACGAACATTACGTGATGTTACTAAAAATTGATCAAAAATAGGCAAAGATGCAAATGTTAATCCCAATGGAGCATATGTTGCAATTATAAACTGACGAGCTTTACACCAAATAAGAGATGAACATGTTAAATCATTATCAAAACCAACCATAAGTATTCTTGTACTCATTGCAATTGTTAAATGAATAAAACTTGCAATAACGGAACATAATAGATAAAATGTTGATGGTGTTTGACGATACATGCTTACTGTTAAAAATAAATATATATTTAATACATCACCTAATATTCCTAAACTTAGTATTGGAATACAAAAAAATCGTGCATATATGATAGATATGTATCTCCATGATGACATTTTAGAAAGTAGTGGTAAACTTGAAAAGGAATTTATATGAATGAACAGAAAAGATTTTTATGTCTTTCTTAGGATTAAAATAATCTTCTATTTAAGAAAATATATGTCTGTTGAGTCATTCAAAAACACAAATAATAATAAAAAGGCACAAGTTGACGACTCTGTATATTCTTATTGTGTTTCTTTTTTATCAGGATTGATTTCGACATGAAGAATCAAAACGATTCAATTTTCTTTTCTCAAGGAACAATGTATTGAGTCTTTTATTTTCTAGTTCTATTGTTCATTTTCAATTCCTGTCGATCAGTTACTTATAATCTATTGGCATTAGTCTTTATTTGCCATGTTAATGATTATTTTATACAACATTTGATAAGTTTTTATTGATTATTTCACATCTTTTGTATAGTTGCTGAGATCATACTTTGAAATTTTTAACTATAATGATTTATGATACACTTAAGCGATTTTGACGAACTATTTTCATATATGCCAAGATTTATAATATTAGTTAGATCAATTTCTCTACAACTATGAAAGTGTGAGAATGAGATGGGCGTAGTTGTGATTATGGGCTATCCTCTTGCCGATACTTGCACTCATACCCAAGCGCTTATCTGAATTTTTGTGGCATCAACTTATACTATGATCCGTTTCAAATTAAAATGCACTCAGCTGTTTTTGCAATAAGTCAAGAATGGAAGGAGCTAAAAAGCTGTGGTTTTTACCAATCGATAGAGAAGATACGGGGACGTCTTTTCTTCTCATATTGTATAAGATGAGATCGCTTTAAAACCAATTATTTCTGCAAACTATTGCAAAAAATGCATGAAAACGGTTTCTTATTTCGATGAAATTTTGCTTTTGATGTGTGATTTAGATAGAGACACTTCGGTTCTATAATTCAAGGTATAATTCGAATGATTATTATCACGCATCCTAATGTTTACCAAATCAAACTGTATATTTACTTCCTCGAAAACTATGGATTTTTCTTATTTTTTAAGCAAGTTTTCTTACTTTTTGTCAAAATTTCATGGAAGCAACAGATCATTTTTGTACATTTTTTCAATGTTTTATAAAAATGATTGATTTTAAAATGACTTCGTCTTGTACAATATTGGAGAAAAAGACGTTCCCGTATCTTCTCCATCGACTGATGAAAACCGCAGCTCTTCAGGTCTTTCGGTTCTTGAGTTATTGGAAAAACAGTGGAGCGCATTATATTTTGAAACGGACAATAGATTGTTTTACTTCTGATTTCAGTAGGAAAAACGCAATAAACATGATCAAATAGTGCCTAATCATGAATATTGGTAGACTACTCCATACGTACAAATTTTCATCTTATAATTATTTCAAGAAATAAAATATTAATTTTTATATAACAAGAAAGAGAACTGATTTCTGCATCTACTCATATAAAAAACAGATTTGAAGTTAGGATGTCGGTGTTGATGTGCGTGTAAGCATCCTCTGTTGAAGATATCCACAGTCACACACACTTGCTCATACCTACACTCTACTGTACAAGTCAATAATGTACATAACATTCTTAAGACGATGTAAATTCAATTTTCATACCAATATAGCGTAAGTTTGACCGTCACCGAGTTGTAAATGCTTTATAATTCTTTTTAAAAACAAAAGTAACATATCCATAAATTGATGCCACTGTTACCAAATGTTATATACAATAAATATCTAAATCAAATGGTGTCTATAAAGACTTTGTCGAAACAGTTGAGTTCATAGAAACTTTGATCACAGCTATACTTTTTGTCCATCATTAATTACACTGAAGCTACTAAATCAAGTAGCATCGTTGTCTTCTGCATAACTTAAAATATTGGAATTAATCTCCAAAGAAAAGCATTCATATTTCAACCTAGAAGACTTATTCTAAAAGAGTTGCAAGATTATCAAGAAATAACTGCAAGAAAATATTTGATGTTCTTCAGCTCTCAGGATACATGCTTTATTTTGAGAATTCACTGGCAAAAGACATCTAGTATTGCTATAGTGATAGTTAACTTCATTATTTTGGACTTGTTCCTCTTTAGTTTCGCTGTGAAATGGATTATTTTAAAAAACATTTCTGGATTTTATTCAAGTTTACTTTTTCGTGAGTACCTTAGAGTGAAGTTCAATTATGCAGAACTTCAACATTAAAATAAAGAAAGTGTCATTCTGTGTCTTTGCAATAGCTAATTATTCTTGATTCAGAACAGTTAATTAGAAAAAGAAAAAAAAGACTGAAATTTCTACCGATCTCAATTTATTTTATGAATCACTGGTTCACAATCGCTTATCGTCTTTTTACTGTAGTAGTTGCTACAATCTTTACTTTTGACTTTGCAACTTCGTATTTGATAAAAGACTTTGGTTCTGCATATACAATTTATTTAGTTGTTATCATTCGCTCACAATATTCTCAAAATTCAATTAATACAATGAATTATGCATCTATTTTATTCTGTGGAGGTATTGATGCAGTTCCAGGAATGTATTGCATGCAAACTGAAATCGAAAAATGTTGATTCAATCAAATCGTCATCTATGCTTAAACATACTTCGAAAAAGTGAAAGAGTTAAGTGAAACCCCAATGGTGGGTGTGGATATGAAATTAGAGCGAAGAAGAACAAATAAATCTATACCAATATCCTAAATTTTGTTCATCATGCAGGTACTCATTCAAAACATAAATTAAATATTTACTTTTTTTTGACATTTGAATCAGTAGATTGAAAAACAAGTTCTGTTGAACAAAAAGCTTTTCTTTCCATCATATATTGAACAATTTTCGAAACTATACCAAAGATATTCGTTTATTTTACGAGTGAAACTGCGACTTGAAAACTCTTCGCTAGTTTGAGTCGAAATTCAATGGCAAGATGAATAAAATATGAAAATTGTATCCATTCTAGACTCTAAGACAAGAACAGTTCGATATCGGATTCTGTAAGAAATGTTTATTACATAAAAAAGAGAATCCACTCGTTGATTTAATTATCTAAATTTCACACACAGGAACACAATTCTGTATTCATTGAAACTCTGAACTTAATAATCTTTATGATGAATTTGCTAATTTTTGACAGCGACTTAACAAAATATGAATCAATAGATATGAGACCTGATGTAACGACTTGATTATTAGAGGTTTCTAGAAGGTAAGTGAAAGTATGGTTTTTCATTTCTTCCACATCCAGAATATGGGTATGAATATGGTTCTTTATTTCTCCCAAATACCACCCACATATACAGAATCATATCCTATTCTGGGAGGGAATAGGGCTGTAAAATCCTTTTTTTTTATTAGAATATGATCCAAAACATTTTATCTATGTCAGAAAATAAATTCAGCAACGTGACGAAAATATTTTCAAGTTCAATTAGCAGCACATATGTAAAAAAAGGCTAAAAATCTGATCAATATCGATTTTCGGCAAAAGAATCGCAAAAGAATCGATTAAAAGTATCTTATTTCGATTAAATTCAATATAACATTTGATTATAACGGATTTTAATCTATAAAAACCGATTAAAATTGATTTTCTTGAGAGGAATCGGAATAATTGATTAAAAATCTAATGTATTTCAAGCGAATATTTCTGAAATTGATTAAAATCAAACAACAGGTAAGCATCCATTAAAGTTGAACGACAGGTAAGAATCGATTAAAATTCACCAATAGGTAAAAATTTACTAAAATCGAACAACAAATTGAATTAGATTAAAATTGAACAACGAGAAATAATAGATCAAAATGGATTCAAAGACACCCATATAATAAAAAGATGAGAAAAACCTGATATTAATCGATGTTTTTGCTTAAAGATAGATTAAATTGGCACAATTTTCATCCGGTTCTTAATCACCCAAAGATTGATTTTCATCAATTTATTTATTAATTATTAATCGATGAAAATCAGATTTTTTCTCATCTTTTTGTTACATAGGCAATAGAAAGTTGTTTTTCACAGATATTTTTTGTTGCAGACAAAAATGTACAAGAGATCAGATGAAATGTTAAACTGAAGAGAGAAAGAACACAAAGAATATGTGAGGAACAAAGACCTTCATTCTTTTCCATTTATAAACATTTTTTGTTATGGCTTCTAGCATTTACTATTACGCTGAATCGATTTGCTTCGTCTATTTATTTCATCCGAAAAGAAAAAGCAATTAAGAAAAATATTTCAGACATACATTTACGACAAATAAAAAGTGTGAATATCTATGGAGCGAGGACGACGACTTAGTTCAAGTTTGTCTCGTTTCTTTCATAAAAAAGTGGCACCAAGTCAGCAAAAAAATGAAACTGAAACTATCAATTCAGTACGTATATTTCTTATCATTACGATTTATCGAAATCTTTTTTTTTCAAAATCCTATCCGTTTATAAATGTATAGCGTAGTCCAAGAGTCACTTTACCGAAAAAAATGAATATCTTCACCATACGTTGACTAACTAATTTAATATTCATACTACTGGTAACGGAGTGTTCATAGATAATATTTATGAAAAGTGACATCAATCAAAATTGCTTTGAAGCATTATTATTAACTTCAATAAAGAATTGCAACCTTTCATGAGTTATAGAAAACCAATATAACTGTACCGTTAGGCAAAATAAAACTACATTGTATCTCGAAAGTTTCAACTAAAAACAGCAAGGACTTGTTGAGTAGACAGTAATAAAACTTTTTCATAACACATGAGAGGTTTCAGTTTTTTTTTATTGAGGTTAACAATGATTCTTCATAACAGAGCTTGTCAATATTTTTTCTTCTAAATATGATCTATGAACACTTCTTTATCAGTGGTAAAAAACCCATCGGTTCAATCACAATATAGCAAAGATATTCAGGTTTTCTTTCT